AAATAAATCATCTTAAGCCAGGAGCCCAAAAGAGGCGAAATGGATTTATTTCTTCCTGCAGAGCCATCTCACCCCGTGAGGATGTGCAGCTCGTGTGGAGGAACCTGACAATGCTGGAAGGTCTCTGCAGCAGGGGGAAAGGCCCTTAGAATCATAGAATCCTTTAGGTTGGAAAGGACCTTTAAGATCATCAAGTCCAACCATTAAGCCATTAGGGCTCTAAAGTCCTCTGCTAAAACAGATCAGAATCTGTCAGGGTTGGAAGGGACCACAAGGATCCCCCAGTTCCAACCCCTCTGCCATGAGCAGGGACACCTCCCACTAGATCAGGCTGCCCAGAGCCTCATCCAGCCTGGCCTTAAAGACCCCCAGGGATGGGGCCTCAACCACCTCCCTGGGCAACCCATTCCAGGGTCTCACCACTCGCATGGGGAAGAACTTCTTCCTCACATCCAGCCTGAATCTGCCCACTTCCAGCTTTGCCCCATTCCCCCCAGTCCTGTCGTTACCCGATAGCCTAAAAAGTCCCTCCCCAGCTCTCTTGTAGGCCCCCCTAAGATATTGGAAGGCCACCATAAGGTCACCTTGGAGCCTTGCTCAAAGCCAGCTCCTGAGCAGGTGGGCTCTGCAGGTCTTATGCTCAGGTCTCCTCCCTGCGCTTGTGCCAGCCAGGACCTGAGGCTGATGCCTGGTTTGGATGTGACCATGGCACAGCAGCTCCAGTGGGCTCCTCCAGCCTCCTCCTACCAGCAGCATATGCTTGTGCGTGGCCCTGCCAGCAGCTGGCAGAGCTGCTGGGAGAAAGGTAAGGGGGCATATGGCAGCTCCCCACCTTCCCTGTCCCCTCACCCACAGCTGAGGCATGCACTATGCCCTCCCCTCCCCACACGATGAGCACAGTGGTCTCATGGAGCAAGAGCCACGCATGCAGGTTGCTCCAGGAACAATCCCACCCCTCTGGTCCCAGGGAAAAAAGAGCAGAAGGGAGGTTTTGAGGGGTCAGCAGTGTCTCTACTTTTTGGGCAGGTCCCCAGAAATGACCATGTACCTGCAGTGTCCCACAGAGAGCAGTGGCTGCTCTTTGCAAGGGAAGGAGCCTCCCTGGATGCCAAGGGCTGGAGGAAGGGGGGCTGCTTTGCTGCTCCATCACCAGCTGTGAAAGCCAACCACTCAGTGTGCCAGCGGCTGGCCCTTCATTACACACACAGCTGATGAAGGAGCTCAGCCCCCCAGTTCACAGGGGCAAGCAGCATGGTCTGAGAACCAAGGAGATGGCAAAGCAAGAGATTAAAAAATAAAAACATCCCAACATCTCAGGGACATCAGCCCAACACACAGATCTTTAATGGCTTTTGCTGAATTGACAGATGCAGGACACAGAAAAATTAGCAGATTTATGGCTGCATCTCTCCCTGGGGCTCAGAGATGCATCTCAGGATACATGTCTTTAAACCATCGTTGGCAATGACACAAGGGGGCACTGGAGAAGACAGAGCTGGGCACGACAATGCAGGAGGTGAGAGCAGAATTTTCTGGCACTTCCCAGGCAACACTCCCTCCTTGGGGGTGCGGTGGAGCTTTATTTCAGTTTGTTGCACACAAAGTGGGTGCAGTGATGGGGCCGTGGGGAGCTGTAACATCTTGACATCTGTGTGTGAACATGGAGAGCTGGATGGCTTCTCGAGGCATGGGGTTCTCCTTCAGAAAGGAGGAGAAGAGCTTAGGGCTCTGGGGAAGCCCAGATCCAGGGACTGTGTGCAAGCAGCAGAGGCCAGCCCTGCTCCTAATATCCCAGAGATCTTCCCTGCTGCAGAGACAGAAGAACAACTCATTTAGGAATTTAAGCTTTGCTGTTTGGTTTCCTCTGGATGAGGTGAGAACTGAAAGATTCAGGGTTTTGCTGGACCTCTGCCTGGTGCTGGGCAGACTCCGAGGACCCACCTCGGTGCTGCCTGTCCCAGCAGGGCTCCCCACCGGGCAGGCACTCCCTGCACCCCGCCCGCAGAGCCCTGGGAAACTCGTCCCCTCTCCCGGCAGCGGGCCCCTGCCCACAGGCCAGCTGGCTCCTGCCTTCCCCTCGGGCTTCAAGGGACACCGGGCAGGCACAGGGGAGAAAGTTAGGGGTTCATCTGAGCTTTAGACCTATTGACTCCATCTGAGGCTCAGCAGCAGCTCCCTCGGCACAGCAGCAAAGGTGTGTCCCTGCAAGGAGAAGCTGGCTGTGATAAACACCGGGCTTTGGTCCAAGGAGTGCAGAGTCCATGGGTCAGCACTTCCCCAGCACTGGCCGACTGTAACTCACAGTCCATCTCTTTCAGCAGAGCTGCAGGATCTGCTGATGTGAATCACGCCCCTCCTTTCACAAGGACTGAAATATTCAAGCTGTTCATGGTGGGGAACATCAAGAGCAAAACACAAAAAGCCTCTCGGGAGCCCCTACTCCCCATAAAGCAGCGATCTCCATGCCCCACCTCCCCTGGGGACAACAGATGGACTGCCCTCACCATCAAATCTTGCCTTCACAAGCCTTCAAACCGGCGCTGCTTATCTTTTTTTGCATGCTTAATTTTTAGCAGAGACATCTAAATCCCTTGCAAGGCTGGATGCAAGAGTAAGATGCAGCCATTCACCTGAAGATTTCAGACCTCTCCTGGGATTTGCCTGCTGAAAGCAGCAGTTCAGGCTACTGCAGTCATTCGCCTAGCCAAAAACAAACAAACAAACAAACAAAACCAAAAACAACACAAAAAAACCCCCACCAAAATAAAACAACTAACAGCCTCTAGAAACTTTAAAATGCCAATCTATTGTTGCCTGACATATGCTCTTCCAAAAGGGTGACTAAAGCTAAAATTTTTTTCTTCTGCGAAGGAGGTGGGCAGTAGAGGATAATGGAGATCCTGAGCTCAGTCACCCAGGAACAACTAACCCAGGAACTGGCACAGCTGAGTCATGGATTTAAACCCTGATATTTTTATGAATATTTCCATTTCCAAAGCATTTCCTCTTCTGCAGAAATTCACCCCCTTGGCTGTCCTGTGATGCAGGCAGTTAGCTACTTCAAGGGTGAAGGAAGGAATCCTGTCTCAAATCTGTGTCCAGGGGAGGAGGGAGGTTGCAGCAAGATGGGGGGGACAAGCTGAGGAGCTGGATGAGCAGCTGGGAAGCCCAGGGGATGTCAGCCAGCTCAGACCACTCCACTGGAGGCTGGGCTGAGAAATACTTCAGGACAGGAGTAAACACAATGTTCATCTCTGTCCGTCTCCAAGCATACTGTAGGCAAAATGATTGGGTTGGGTAGCTTTGCTCTAAAACCTGGTCCCCATTTGCTCTCTGATACTGGCAGTCCTGTCTATCCCTCATGTGAGACTGGAGCCAGCGATGCTGCAGCCACCACCGTTCTGCAAAACTGGTGTCAAGGTGGGGGAGCTGCTCCTGAGAAGGGGCCAAGTGTAAACTGGAGTGATGCATTCTTTGGAGCGGGCCTTGGGTACCTCAGAGTTCATCAGAAGCCTCCTCCTCACAAAGAACTATGTCCATCTTCTTCTCATCCGCCTGGCAAGAGCTTTTGCTCCTGAAGGTGGACCTCAGGGACTGGCTGGCTCTTTCGTGGATGGTCCTCACACACGACACGCAGTCTTCGCCGGTCATCACGTAGAGCAGGGGGTTGAGGGCGCTGTTGAAGCTGGCCAGGCCCCGGGTCACCTGGTAGGAAACATAGATGTTCTTCAAAGCCTGAGTACAGGAACCCTGCAGCTGCCAGCCTCGAGACAGCAAGTTGAGGTTTCTGAAGATGTGGTAGGGGAGGAAGCAGATGGAGAAGAGGACCATCACAAGAATCACCAGTCTGATGCTTCTTCTCCTGAGGGCGGGATCCACGGTGTCACTCTTGCAGAGCACCACCACCACGTGGCAGTAGCACCCGACGATGATGAGAAAGGGGATGAGGAACCCGGTCACGGTGACGGCCGCGGTGTAGGGCAAGTAACCGCCCAGGCTGTCGTGTCCCGTCGTGTCGTGGCACCGCGTCCCCGCGCCGTCCGTCTTGCTGAAGGCCAGATCGGGAGCTACCTGCACCACGACCCACAGCCAGACCATCGCGCTGAGCCGCGCCAGCGAGCTGGGCCCCTGGCACCTGCCCCGTGCCCTCAGCGGGTGCACGATGCCCAGGTAGCGGTGGACGCTGATGCAGGTGAGGAAGCCGATGCTG